GAATATGAGGCATACCTTGGGTAGCAACACACCTGCTAGAAGATGAGGTCATAGCTGGGATAGCAGAATACCAGAAAGAATATGAGGCATACCTTGGGTAGCAACACACCTGCTAGAAGATGAGGTCACAGCTGGGATAGCAGAATACCAGCAAGAATATGAGGCATACCTTGGGGAGCAACACACCTGCTAGAAGATGAGGTCATAGCTGGGATAGCAGAATACCAGCAAGAATATGAGGCATACATTTACAATGCAAAGTAGCATACATCCTAGAGTGAGTGAGTGAGTATGGTTTTACGCCGCTTTTAGCAATATTCCAGCAATATCACGGCGGACCTCCTAGAAGGAGAAGAGGAGGTGAGGTGAAATTGGGTTTAACGTCGCGTCCAAGATAATGGCACTTATATAGCGACGTGCATGTACGTGTATGTGTTTGTGTGGCTGCTTGTACTAGTCCCGCTGATGCCGATTTAAAGTGCTAGCTCACTGAGATACCATGCCGCAGTTTAACATGAATACCCAACTCAGACAGAGTATACTGACTCCGAGCCGACCAGTCCTTGTTTTAGCCCCTTAATGCCGAGCGCCAGACAGGGTAACAACAAGTACCATCTTTTAACGTCTTTTGGTATGACGCGGCCGGGGATCGAACCCCGCACCTTCCGCTCTCCAGGCGGACGCTCTACCACTAGACCACGGAGGCGGTCAGAAGGAGAAGGCATGCCGAGGATAGCAGCATACTGCCTGTGAGATGAAGGCACACAGGGGAAGTTCGCTGTTCTAGTGTCGTACTTGTCTTCCTGTAACGGGCCATGAATATTCGACTGCGGCCAAAACTCCTCGCGACAGAGTCATGCTTTGTGCCTTGATGCATCGTACCACCGGATTTATCTCTCTGCTGCAGCGTTAATCGCGGCATGTTATTTGTCACTGTCCAACAGTTTGGGTGTGACTGAACCATGCACATTTTCTTTCATTTTCATACCCGTTACTTTCTTGGTTTGCATGCTGCACGTGCAGCAACTTTTACTTCAATCTCAGTTTCCAGTGACATGTTTGTTTGTTTGTTTGTTTGTTTGTTGTTTAACGCCACACTCAGCAATATTCCAGCTATATGACGGCGGTCTGTAAATAATCGAGTCTGGACCAGACAATCCAGTGATTGACATCATGAGCAATTGCGACCGATGACATGCATCAACCAAGTCAGCGAACCTGACCACCCGATCCCGTTAGTCGCCTCTTACGACAAGCATAGTCGCCTTTTATGGCAAGCATGGGTTGCTGAAGAGCTATTCTACCCCGGATCTTGACGGGTCTCCAGTGATATGGATACTGGAGTACGGACATTACTCAGGAAATTCTTACTCAGCCATTTTTGTGACACTATTCGGTATTTGAACCATAAGAGTGAAAATTTCAGTTTCGTCACGTTTCTTTTGCTCGTCAGTTTATGTCTTACTTAAACTATAGCAATATATTATTGATAGATAACACTCAACGATGACGTAGTAACACTGGTTACAACAATGTCACCCACCATCGCTGAAAGGACGCTACTATTGTAATTAAGAAAATCAACATCATTACCACGTGGCCATTAGTAAAAAAACAATCTTCTTAATGAGAAGGACTCCAAGTGACTCGGCGTTTTTAAAAATAAAATGACAACATTATGTAAACACAATATACATGAGTAGGCAAGACTTTGCTGAATGTAAGATGCAACATGCATAATATATACAATGTGTGGAATTACCACTATGTAATGATTGAGAAGAAAACAACGTCAGCATTTATGATTCCCAAAAGGCCTACACAACACTCATTGGCATTTGTAAAGCGTCTTTCACTGTTGGCATCAGACCTAAAGTGTAGTGTCTTTTGTCCAAGGCTACCCAACGGTTAAATCAATCATCGTTTCTCTATATCGGTATGGAAGCGTATAAGGGACACATTCTAAACAAATAGTGAGTGAGTAGGTATGGTTTTACGTCGATTTTAGCAATATTCCAGCAATATCACGGCAGGGGACACCAACCCGAACCCGGGTCTTCGGCATGACGAGCGAACGCCTTTACCACTAGGCTACCCGACTGCTCCTCTAAACAAATAAATAATCAGCGTAGATGATATTTTTATCTACGTAGATTGTACTTACATCTACATAGATGATACTTACATCTACATAGATGATACTTACATCTTCGTAGATGATACTACTCACATCTACGAAGATGATATTTTCATCTACGTGTACGGTTTCATAATCTGTGTAGAAGTAGGTGTTACAGGGTACGATTTCATTCTGTTTTACCACCTGCACCAGGTGCAACCAAGTAAATTAATCAGGTTGCTCAAACAAACTACTGGCTGCTCCAGTTTATCATAAATTGAAACACTGTATTTTCAGTTATTTTGAATATTGAATATATTCCAATAGAACTTAAGCATGAGACTGCGGGCCAGTATTATATTTTTGGTAAATCTTAATATTGCTTTTCACATCACGATATCCAGTAAACAACATCAAAAAGAAGTTTCAAAATGTCTGTTTGATGCGATTATAACCTCGTGAGTGACTGTTCTTGTCATAATTAACTGATTGTAAAGCATTAGTTCTAAAAGTTCACTGCATTCAGGCCCCCTGTGTATTTCACTAATTTCATAAACTGTGGTTTCCTGGATTCAAAAAAGATTTGCAACCAGTTCTAAATGAGTTCAGTGTTCCACTTTTATCAAATCAATTTTATCAACTGCTGTACACGTGGTGGAAAATGTTACCTGCACTGGTGCATCCTGGCAATAACAGTTACCTGCACTATCAATGTTTTACCTGCACTAGCAATGTTTTACCAGCACTCGTGCAGCTTGGGTATAGCGAAAGCGATCCCTTCATTATCTACTTTTGAACAGCATCGTGTAATATCATACACGTAAATGCAGGTATGGTCTACGTAGATGTAGGTAGGGCCTACGTAAATGTAAGTATGGTCTACGTAGATGTAGGTATGGTCTACGTAGATGTAGGTATGATCTACGTAGATGTAGGTATGGTCTACGTAGATGTAGGTATGGTCAACGTAGATGAAGGTATGGTCAACGTAGATGTAGGTATGGTCTACGTAGATGTAGGTATGGTCTACGTAGATGTAGGTATGGTCTACGTAGATGTAAGTATGATCTACGTAGATGTAGATATGGTCTACGTAGCTGTAGGTATGGTCTACGTAGATGTAGGTAGGGCCTACGTAGATGTAGGTAGGGTCTACGTAGATGAAGGTATGATCTACGTATATGTAGGTATGGTCTACGTAGATGTAGGTATGGCCTACGTAGATGTAGGTATGTCTACGTAGATGTAGGTATGATCTACGTAAATGAAGGTATGATCTACGTAGATGTAGGTATGGTCTACGTAGATGTAAGTATGGTCTACGAAGATGTAGGTATGGTCTACGTAGATGTAGGTATGATCTACGTAGATGTAGGTATGATCTACGTAGATGTAAGTATGATCTACGTAGATGTAGGTATGGTCTACGTAGATGTAAGTATGGTCTACGTAGATGTAGGTATGGTCTACAATGATGTAGGTATGGTCTACGTAGATGAAGGTATGGTCTACGTAGATGTAGGTATGATCTACGTAGATGTAGGTATGGTCTACGTAGATGTAAATATGATCTACATAAATGTAGGTACATTGTATGGTCTACGTAGATGTAGGTATGGTCTTCGTAGATGTAGGTATGGTCTACGTAGATGTAGGTATGGTCTACGTAGTTGTAGGTATTGTCTACGTAGATGTAGTTGAAAGTAACATCTACGTAGATGATATGGCCTACGTAGCTGTGATATGGTCTACGTTGCTGTAAGTATCATATATGTAGATGAAAGTAACATCTACGTAGACGATATGGTCTATGTAGACGTAGGTATGTAGGCACCTGCAAGTGCGGGTGTCAGTTGCCCCACACAAAAACGTTGCACGTCCCAGGAATTCTACGGAAGCCTTAAGAGTTTATTGGATATTTTTTATAATTTTTTTTCGTGAAATTTCAAGATATCAAGTTTTAATTTTAGGATACATACTCAGTTGAAATTTAAGATAATGATCTTGAAATTTCAAGAAAATAAGTTGAAATGTTAAGATTATAACTTGTATCTTGAAATTTCAACTTATGTGTTTTGAAATTTCAATAGTATCTTGAAATTTCAAAAAGAAAAAAAACAAAAACGAATGGCCCTAAAAGGCTTCCGTAGAATTCCTGTGCAACTTCTTTTGTGTGGGCAATTGAATCACGTATATAAACGCCTGTGACAAAAAATAGGGGTTAAACAATTTAGGATACTGAACACACGATTGCTTGTTAGAAAGTGGTCAAATGTAACAAATGTTATATCTGGCATAACATTTGTTACATTTGACCACTTTCTAAATAGCATTGTGTGTTCATAGCTATCGGCCAGGGGAACCATGCTAACTTACACTTATCAGAGGGGTACACAAAGTACGTGATCTAGACTACCAATTGTCGGACTTTCATTTTTGTGAAAGCCTCGGTGAATGAGTAGGAAAGATCGCTGACTTTGCGTGCTGGTGATTAGGTGCCTCACTCTGGCAGTTTGGGTTCGAATCCCGGATGGGACTGAACACCAAATTTGGGTCACTGTCTGTCGAATAATGTGGCAATATATCTTAACCAGATAAAAAAGTACAAAAAAAGAATTAATATCCAACTTCGTGTAAGTTCTAGGGAAGTCAATAGGATTTGTGACGTTGCTGATTGACATGTCCCAAAGGTGTGGTTCTATATGTTTTAAAATCACTGGGTTCCCTTCTATGAGTCCCACGTGTGATTCATGCAACTCATTCAGGAAGTGATGTAGCCACTCGTGCAACTGGTCCCCATTCGAATCAATTCACTCGTGATTCCTTCACTCATTCACGCAACCACTCACTCAACCACCCTCCCAAACCAACACTCACCCACCTTCACAATGTCATAGCCTACTTCTACTCCGAAGTCCAGAAACAGGAGGCGGATTGGTTTGTTGCCGGCGTCGATGGTATAGTAGCAGTCGGCGTTGGAGGGGTAGTTTCCCGGGTAGTTGGGTGAGGTGAAGAAGCCGGAATACCCCGTCAACGTTGAACTACAGCCTAGGGGAAGAAGAGACAAATACAATTTATCATTTAACTTAAGCATTTATCCATGACATAAGCTGATGACATAAAAACATGTATGTCATACCCCAATGACATAAGTATGCAAATTAGATATGCAAATTAGATAACCGGAAGAGCGAGCGGTTTGATTTGAAACTATATATTATAAGTGAAGTTACACCAGAGATATAATCAGATTACACAGAATCGTTGTTGTTACCGTTATTAAAGTTTCAATTATTCTGCAAAAGTCTGTTCAAGTATTTTGTTTAAAACAATCCGAGGAACTTTTTTTCTCAGCGAATTGTTTATTTTGGTTTACATTGCTATGGAAAACATGTATCACTACGCACGATCTATACGTAAGATTTCGACAAGTTGCTGATGTTAATGTTTAATGCAATTATTCCTTAATTTGGAAGCAAAAATGTGAAAATGATAAATAGAATTCATCACTCGTTTTTTTTTAATATGGGAAATATCAACCTCGTCCCGTTAATCGGTATTTGCGTCGCCAAAGGCTCGGCAAATACCGATTAACTAAGACTCGGTTGATATTTCCCATATTAAAAAACACTCGTGATGAATCCTCTATTTATCTTGCCGTATACGTGAATTTTGGAATCGGTTTGGCTGAGACCCATGCTGTTATTATCTGTGTATCACGCTAACATGTAAGGTACATTTCGTATGGACCCGCTCGAATTACCGAACTGTTGGCATCACATTTGCAACATACCAACCACATTTGTGTATCTCGACTTAAGGATGTAACACGCGATTCTGTGAATATTTACGATATTTTCTGAATGAAACAGATCTAGGGGAAATACTTTGGGAAATGAGTTTGTTTTTGTCGTCTTAGTGGATCCAAGGAAATTGTGGTATTCTTGCCGATTCCGACCACAGCATGGCTGCAATTTAACTGAGTGTGTGGTGAGATAAATGGGTTGTCCACCGGTGTCTCTGGTGACAAGGGTTGATGTACACTCTTTGTTATTTTATGTTTCCCGAGCCCCATGATCGAGAAATCATGAACCTACGGAAGTCTTTTAGGGCCATTTTTTTATTAATTTTTCTCTCCAAACTTCAAGATACTAAGATGAAATTTCAAGATTCTAACTAGAAATATCAAGGTATGAAATTTCACATAATGATCTTGAAATTTCATGATAATAAGTTATCATCTTGTAAATTTCAACTTAGTATCTTGAAATTTTATGATAAAAGTTGAAATTTCAAGTAAGTTATAATCTTAAAATTTCAACTGATTATCTTGAAATTTTTAATTTAGTTTCTTGAAATTTCACAATACTAAGTTGAAATTTCAATTAAAAATGTTAATATTTCAACTTATCATCTTGAAATTCAAGATCATTATCTTTAAATGTAAACTTAGTATGTATCTTAAAATTTGAACTTATTATCTTGAAATGTCAAGTTAGTATCTTGAAATTTCAATAACAAAATGAATAAAACAAAAGTCCCTAAAAGGCTTCTGTATGAACTAAGATAAAGGGTACATTAATCTATGTCCATCTCGAGACCGGTGATCAACTTATAATAGTAAAATCTGAGTTCCAGTTTGATAATACGATCGTTGCTGTACACGCTACCCTGTGCATATTCCGGGTTAGAATTGATCCCCATCAATGTATACCTGTCGCGAGACGACTTAATGGATCGGGTGGCCAGACTCGTTGATTTGGTTGATAGCGTGTCAACAGTACTCCGATGGTAAGGATCGATGCTCATCTATCACTAGCACTGGTTGGATTATTTTCAAGCCTACGTTGCTGGATATTGCTGAGGGAAGCGTCATAATACAACTAAGATCATAACATACTAGAAAGAGCAGTGATGTTTCATTTTAAAATATTATAATTTACTAAGGAAATGTTATGTATATATTCAGATCCCATACAACAACTTATTGGAGTAAAAGTTCCAACGAACTGATACGATCCTTAACCGCACTATTGAGTTTACAAACAGCCTTTTCATTTTACTGTGTACGAAAGAGCAGTGATGTTTCATTTTAATATTAATATTATAATTTACTAAGGAAATGTAATGTATATATTCAGATCCCATACAACAACTTATTGGAATAAATGTTCTAACGAACTGATACGATTCTTAACCACACTATTGAGTTTACAAACAGCTTTTTTCATTATACTGTGTACGAAAGAGCAGTGATGTTTCATTTTAAAATATTATAATTTACTAAGGAAATATAATGTATATATTCAGATCCCATACAACTTATTGGGATAAATGTTCTAACGAACTGATACCATCCTTAACCACACTATTGAGTTTACAAACAGCTTTTTCATTTTACTGTGTACGAAAGAGCAGTGATGTTTCATTTTAAAATATTATAATTTACTAAGGAAATGTAATGTATATAATCAGATCCCATACAACAACTTATTGGAATAAATGTTCTAACGAACTGATGCGATCCTTAACCGCACTATTGAGTTTACAAACAGCTTTTTCATTTTACTGTGTACGCTTACGAATGGAAATACTCCAGTCAGTGTAGTTGAAGTGAACTGTAAACATTTGAATTCAATCTGCAATGCATAGCGCCTGGTTGCAATCCACGCAAAAACTACTGTGTGGCTTCTGTCTGTAAACGACGCTATGTATGCTTAGAGGATAAATTAAGGTTTGATATTTTTCTTTTATCATTTGAATGGGTGAAAATATTATTTCATGGATTAAATGTTTCTCAGACGGCATACCATCCGGCATTGCATAATCGTGCCCATTCAAAGACGCTACACTTCATACAGTATTATGACTTACGTTCGTAAGTGTGCCTGTGTGTGTGTCAACGTGTTTGTGTATGACTGCGTCCGTGCGTGACTGTATAAGTAATTTGGTGTGTGTGTACGTGCATGCGTGCGTGTGTGTGTGTGTATGTGCGTCCGTGCTTGCGTGCGTGTGTGTGTAGTATATGTGTGTGTGCGTGTGTGTGCGTGTGTAGTATATGTGTGTGTGCGTGTGTGTGTGTGTATGTGTGTGTGCGTGTGTGCGTGCGTGCGTGCGTGCGTGCGTGTGTGTGTGTGTGTGTGTGTGTGTGTGTGTGTGTGTGTGTGTGTGTGTGTGTGTGTGTGTGTGTGTGTGTGTGTGTGTGTGTGTGTGTGGCATATGTGTGTGCGCGTGTGTGTGTATGTGCGGGCGTGTGTGTGTGTAGTATATATGTGTGTGTGCGTGGGTGTGTGTGTGTGTAGTATATGTGTGTGTGTGTAGTATGTGTGTGTGTGCGTGTGTGTGTATGTGCGTGTGTGTGTAGTATATGTGTGTGTGTGCGTGTGTGTGTGTGTGTGTGTAGTATATGTGTGTGTGCGTGTGTGTGTAGTATATGTGTGTGTATGTGCGTGCGTGTGTGTGTAGTATGTGTGCGTGTGCGTGTGCGTGTAGTATATGTGTGTGTGTGTGTAGTGTATGTGGGTGTGCGTGTGTGTGTGTGTGTGTGTGTGTGTGTGTAGTATATGTGTGCGTGTGTGTGTAGTATATGTGGGTGTGCGTGTGTGTGTGTGTGTAGTATATGTGTGCGTGTGTGTAGTATATGTGTGTGTGTAGTATATTTGTGTGTGTGTGTGTGTGTGTGTGTGTAGTATATGTGTGTGTGGTATATGTATGTGTGCGGGTGTGTGTGTAGTATATGTGTGTGTGTGTAGTATATGTGTGTGTGTGTAGTATATGTGTGTGTGTGTGTAGTATATGTTTGCGTGAGTGTGTGTGTAGTATATGTGTGCGTGTGTGTGTGTAGTATATGTGTGTGTGCGTGTAGTATATGTGTGTGTGTGTAGTTTATGTGTGTGTGCGTGTGTGTGTGTAGTATATGTGTGTGTGCGTATGTGTGTGTGCGTGTGTGTAGTATATGTGTGTGTGCGTGTGTAGTATATGTGTGTGTGCGTGTGCGTGCGTGCGTGTAGTATATGTGTGTGTGCGTGTGTGTGTGTGTAGTATATGTGTGTGTGCGTGTGTGTTAGTGTGTGTGTAGTATATGTGTGCGTGTGTGTTTGTGTGTAGTATATGTGTGCGTGTAGCATATGTGTGTGTGTGTGCGTGTGTGTGTGTGTGCGTATGTGTGTGTAGTATATGTGTGTGTGTAGTATATGTGTGTGTGCTTGCGTGTGTGTGTGTAGTATATGTGCGTGTGCGTGTGTGTGTAGTTTATGTGTGTGTGCGTGTGTGTATGTGTAGTATGTGTGTGTGTGTGTGTGTGTGTGTGTGTAGTATATATGTGTTTGTGTGTAGTATATGTGTGTGTGGGGGGGGTGTAGTATATGTGTGTGTGTGTGTAGTATATGTGTGTGTGCGTGCGGGTGCGTGCGTGCGTGCGTGCGTGCGTGCGTGTGTGTGTGTGTGTGTGTGTGTGTGTGTGTGTGTGTGTGTGTGTGTGTGTGTGTGTGTGTGTGTGTGTGTGTGTGTGTGTGTGTGTGTGTGTGTGTGTGTGTGTGTGTGTGTTCAACGAATTTCATAATTAATCTGAACTTTAAACATTGTGTTGGTATATGTCTTATTTTATCTTAGCCGGATCATGATATATTTGGCTTATAAGATTTTATGTCTAGTGTCTCGTAGGCCATACCTAGTCGGATGTTATATTTTATTGTTTGTGTACGTGTTTTAGTATGAAGTGTATATAACATGTGACACTATAATCAACAATATTCTCTCTCTCTCTCTCTCTCTCTCTCTCTCTCTCTCTCTCGCTCTCTCTCTCTGTCAGGCATTTGTCATAATCGGTATATACTATGTTTGTGGCGTGTTTTCGAGATCTGTCGTACGTGTTTTGAAAGTGCAAGCGGAAACCACACGGACTTGTAGTCAGAAATAACACGGCAGACCCATTTTTTCTTCAACATTTTTGGACCGCCATTTTACCTGTCGTATGCTCTAAAGACAGGTCCGACCCTGTCGTCTTTGTCATAAACTTAAGACAACTTAGCGGTAATATAAGAAATAAA